CTTATATGGGCATATATATATATATCTCTCTCTCTCTCTCTATATATATATATATATATATGAATGTAGGTATGGCCATAAACTCGCAATAATAGCAGTAATAAGATCTAGAATCTTTTCAACTCCGATAGCCCAACTTTACTTACCTGAGAAAAATGCGTGTTTGCGCCGACTCAGTCGGAAAAAAGGCAGAAGCGAGATCCAACTGAGGATGTTTTGATGGATACTGGTCAAAGACACCCTACAAGGTCTTTTAAACGGGAGCGTATAGGCTGTCAGTTTTTCGACGCAATCCGTCATATAAGCATCGCTGACAGGACTAAATCTCAACTGAAAACACAGAATGGCCCAGTAGCTCCTCAGTAAATAAATGGTCATGGAGTGCCTCTTTCCACGACTATGTCCCACCGACCTGTGTTCTATTGATAGAGAAATGGGTATGATTGATGCCGAGAAACACTGTACGAAGGGGTTGTATGTTGTTACCGGTTTGTCTTCTAAGACCAACAGTTTACCCTGCAAGAATTTCAGTAACAGTCAAGGTGATGTTCTCAATGATTTGGCGCTCTTTCGGTAGATGTCTTAGACTAGTTACAGAAAAAAGGGAATTGTTTAGTATCAGCACTTCTTCTGGGTCCTCCAGTTGTTTGGCTGGCAAATGTTTCACACATCCGAGCAGGTGAACCTGGGCTTAAGTACAGAACGGGCGACTATAAATCACGTCCTGGACGAATCATTGCTTGCCGACTTCTAACCCATTCTGGAAGGTCTTGAAAATTACCCAGTTTCCAGATTACTGTTAAATATCAGTGAATCGTCTGGGTAAGCCGCAGAATCTTGCCGAGGAGTCCGTTTATTCTCATTCACTTGTAGTGAGTTAACTTGACCGTTTTTCTTTTAAGTTGAGTGTGAATATTCTGATTAAACACGTGACGAGACGCGTGAAACGCAAACAACCACAGTTGATCGCCAAAATCATGTTTCAGATCGTAGCTGGCAAGGCTTGGCAAGAAGGCGTATTGAGGGGGTCAGCTGAGCGAATCCACAAATTTCCCGTAGAGGGGAAGATATAAGCTCAGGAAAATTCTAATTGTTCTTTTGCATATAATCAGTGAATTCAATAGAGCCTGTTGAGAATGCAGTACTCATAACACCAATCATTACTGTGATATTTGGGTTGAGCTTCCTGGCACAAAAATGTACAGTAATAAAGCGCCCAGATAAATTCTTCACTCAAAATTAGGTTATACTTAAAAAAATATAACAAACACGAGTGCAAAGGCCTTATTGGAAACAACCGAATGGTTTTGACTTGAAAGTGGTTACCATTTGTTGACAGGTATTCCACTGAGCAGGCAGTCACCATGCAAAACATTCGAACTTGCACACTCGACGCTTCAAGGTTTTAATGCAAGTGTACTTGGTGATAAATAATTCAAATCAGCAAATATTGGCGCCACTCACTGCTGTTCGGAATTCAACACTGTGTCTGGCAAAGGCTACATAGACTTTAGTTCTATAAAGCTGATCATGGTTTGGCAAAGCTCCACTAGTTCCCAGCATAACTGACAGGGATCGGTAAGAACACTGACAAAAATACTCTTCACTTTACAACGTGGAAATTTTGGGTCGTTCTGTGTCCATAATGCAATTAGATCACGTCTAATGAGGGGACTAATAGCAACAGTTGTTAGGTTAATTAAAGTGAGGCTAAGTGCTATCGCAGGTCTAATGATCAAGCAACATTTTCATCTTTCATTCTTATTACGGCTTACCAAGAGACAGAGCAAATCAACATAAATTACGACCGTTCATTCCAAAAATCCATTGAGTTTCGAAAATTAATCCCTGGGGTTGGAAGCAGCCGTCCACGGTATATTGTGTAAGCAGCGTATTAAGGGAAACTATGCAGATCACAATTATGCCCACCTTTCTAAACCAAATATCCGTTTAAAATAGCCGCCTTGTTTTGATTCATTTGGAGCATTTTCCAACTAGAAGCAGATAACATATTTCGTTCCTGCTAGCTCACTCATTCTTGACAATCGTAGGATTACCGTAAGTATTACGATGGGACGCCATGAAGTTTACGGATGGACAAATCAGCTGTATTTCATGGTCCCCTTAGAGATCTTCATGGGATGACTTCCTATTACTGTGGTGCGGACCTTTGGCTTAGGTTGTTTCTTGAACAGTCAGTTTAGTCTCACTTCCATCAGTTGACAAAATAATTTAGTTTGAACAAGATTAATGGTTGAACTTGTAATATCAATGAGATTCTCGGATGCATTGCACGAGCTGGACTGACAGGTTCGGTTCTAGGAACATTTTAATCAAAATTATACAAGTTTGTTTATGGTGAACGCATGTATCCTTCACTCATTTATTGTTTTTGAAGCTTTAATAGTGACTGTTGGCCAAGTTATCTCGTCCTATCTGATAGTCATGCCCCGGAAGAACGAAAACTTAACAGCGGTACGGAGCTCAGGAATTGCCTATAGATAAATGCACACAGATAAAATGTCTCACAACGCTCTTTGCCATATTTACTGGATTTCGCTTCACCTGTTTCCTTCTATGCTATTTTACACATCGATTGGTCAGTTTTGCTCTGCCATATCACAGAAATCCCAAAACAGTCGCGGAAAAACTACGCGCGGGATTCTTCGTACCATGAGAGGTGATAGTTTTGGTTTCACTTGCGTCCAAACACTTCCGTGTGTCACTCACGCCCGTCTAGCATGCTCAGTCCTATTAATATTTTAAGTAATCTTACGGTCATCCAGAAGTTTGTGTATATCCAGTTAATTGAGCCAGGAAATCGACCATGAATTAGTGGTTGTGCGCAAACGCAACCCCCCCCCCCGCTACGCTTCCCAATAACGCACTGATGATGTCACTTCGATTGGTGATGAAACGTTTGCGATCAAATTGTCCAGCTCAGCAAACAAGCCAACGACCATCTATGCTACCTGAGCTACCGACATTTTCCTCCATAGAAAATCAATATACGCTCTTCTGTCAGTGCGAAAGCAAGGCAGATGGATTAAAAACTGTCAGCTAACCAGAGCATGTAGACCTAATAATGGAGGCTACGCTCTAGGTAAAAAAAACTGCGCACAGAACAATTTACCGCTGAACTTTGAAGCTGGTAGGGTGAATATTTCCAGCTGTAGCAGACAACCGTAGATTCTTCCAATGTGCGCTACTACGGCACGCATTCCACTTCCAGAGTAAGGTCGTTCCGCTTCACAAATTGATCTTATTTTACATTCTGCTACCTCTTTTTCGTTGATATTGTTTTCTAGAGTAGGCGGATCTGTTTCGACCGTCCGTGGTGCTTGATGTTTGATCTGCAAACGTTTTGGCTCCAACAGACTTCTGTAGGAGCTTGCTTTCTTGTCTTTCTTGGGTTTATACATGGCTGCGAATAGTGTTTATTACTAACCGGATACCCGTCTTTACGATTCCAGGTTGCTTGTAGGCTAGTTCCTAATCCCCGTCGCCTTGTGATTCGTTCCCATTTTATTTGACTAATTTTTCGAACACAGCTGATATTCATAACAAAATAAGTAGGACTCCTTTATTTTTTGTCATTGGTGGCGAATAATTTTTGACTTTTTCTTGTTCTCATCATACTGCGTCGTCCCACTAGTGCGATGTGACATAGAAGTTTTTACTTGCGATATTACAGTTGGTATATCTAATATATCCAGCGCGTTTTGGAAAGTAGTATGATATTCTTATTCATTAGTCCATCATGTTTTGCTGGTACTAATTTTAATACATTTACTGGTGTACCGCCGTTACTAGTAATCAGGCATACGAGTAGTCTGTGGTCGTCTTAAAGCGCCGCCCCGCATTTAATGAAAGCCGGGTTTTATTACGGAACTTGTGGAGCCGCTTTGCAGCGTCAGTAGTCAATGAATGCCCGTGAAAGTTCAAGAACTAGCCCGGTATTATGGGCAGCACAACGTCAGAACCGGTGGCGTCAACGATATTATGCCAGTTTCACTCAGACAGCCTGTTGAATTGGCTCTGAATAGTCTCCGATATTTTGTCTCCCTCCCCATTCTCAATACCAGTATTCGCTTTTTCATCTTACTTTGATCTCCTGCTTCAATTGTCAGGAGCCGTTATATGCAAAGTCTCTGGAGTTCTTTTGAACATATCAGAAGGGGAATGTCGGAATCTGAAGGTCAGAAATTTGAGCCACATCCAGTCGCATTGCCAGTTGATTTGGGGACGCGCTGAATTACGAAGGGGATATTTTAACCTTTTAAAACAGCGATAGTGGTTACTAAGTGTTGAACTTTTTTTCTTTCTTTTGAGTTACATTCACCATCTCCTCTGATGGCTTCCTCTTATACTGTTACATTCTCTGATGAACTTACTGTCGACCAATGTTCGACGGAACAATTCAAGATATCGATCTTCCCTCAGATACAAAACTACTATGTATGTTAAATGCGGATATCGCCGCAACGATTATTTAAACTGCTCAAATGTTGCGACATTTAGCTTTCCCAATTTTTCACCAACATTCCTTCGCTGTTAACTGATTGGGAACACTGTCTTTTTAGACTTAGATCATATGCAAATCGAATTTATTCAGCCCCAACATGCCATACCATCTGCCACAATAAAAACTTGATAATAGTAAAAAAGTGTTTGCCACTATAATATACGTCCCGTTCTGGAAATGCTCCTGAATCCAGGACTGCATCGAAAAGTTCACCTTTGTTTTATTGTCACTTCAGTTTCCTAATGTTATCACATGTTTAAAAGTCTTCCTCCAGGTAACCTTGTTTTTGCTCGAGGAACCACGTCACGGAACTTCATCTCCTTCCATGTTTCCTTTGTTTAAACGCACGTTAAGCGAACTTTCTTATTCGTACACCATTTTATGTTCCCAAAGTTTTTTAAAACGACTGAAAAACCTAATGTCATGTTGGTTCTTTCACTGTTGTGTGGAGTAGCATTCACCGATGGCTCAGTTTTACTTGTTGGGAACATCCTCACTAGAGTGGAAGATCGCTGAGTACAATGCCCAAATCAAGGCATGTCTCGGCATACTTGCTTTGATGCTCCGTGTGCAAAAGTTAGCGACTGAGTGTGGTGCGGCAGGATGCACGCTATAAAGAATTTGTTGTAAAATCGGCGTGCTTTTATCAGAGAAAACGGTTAGTTCCAATGCTGCAAGGACTCCCATCAACTTATCCTCTGAGGTCTGAGGACTATGTACTCCAAAGAACGCAATAAACAGCATCTGAATGGTATGAATTTGACATCTTCAAAAGTTGTTTTTCAAATAGATTGGACATGTTTGTTGAGCAGGAACACATCTTTTCTCATTTTAAGACATTTTGGTTCCTGGCCCACTGCTTTGCAAACTTCTAGTACAGGCCTTCAAATGCAGTTTTCTTTTGTCTTTTAATTAGAAAAACTGGAAAAGTAAGCTGATTCCCATTCATACCTGACTTAGGCGGAATTTGCCATTTCTTATACAGGAATCAGTAATTATCCCGAATATGGCCAAACTGAAGGTCTGTGACAACAAATGTGCCATAGAAACATCATATATATCACAATCCTCCAAACTTTTTCACACAGGTTTCATCTCTAGTTATTCCTTTTTTGTTCTGTAGTAAACTATACTTAATCAGATGTTATTTGTAACTCGTCTCACTGGAATATTGTGTTGTCTAAGGGATAATTGGTACTTTGGGTCAAAACAGTGAAGCAGATTATTCTACTAGTGTACCGATGATACTACTGATGGAAGAGGGATGCGAGTAGTATGTTTTATCGTAAATTCGCTTTGGTCTCTTGAAAACGGAGATCTGTTGCGGAATTTGTAAAGTCGCTTTGTAGCATTTGCTTGGATTTGGGCAACGGTCAATGAATATTCAGGAAAGTTTTGGAATACGCTTTCAAAAAGAGGATGGATATTCCGTTTTTGTAAACAAGGTGCATATAAGCGTTTTGCTACCCTGTCCAACAGTCTGTACCTATTCATTTGGCGTTTTCTAATAAATATTCCGCAGCAAAGGCCTTCTCCTTCCACTAGCAGGTGAACTAGACAAAACATGAACACAGGCACCCTAGGGCTCTTCTGTACGACTGCATAGAATCTTTGGAACTGTTGCAATGTATTGCTGGTTAGTACAAGCAACTCACTTTGCCACTTTGAGATAATTTCTTTCTGTCTACTCTGCAACTGGTTCAGATTTGCATATAGTTTATTCATTCTATCCTAACGTTTGTTTGACCTTTAGATTTCAACCTGGTCGACTTTCTGTACCATCGCTCTGGTTTCAGGTTTCCATTATACTCTCGGTATCAATCTTCTTTTCCAAATTATGAACAAAGGATTACCTCCACCTTATTTTGTTTTCGGAGGAGTGAAGATCACCAATGTTGTCAAAATTGATCTGTTGGAGGTGTCTTGAGCTGATATTGGATTCGTTATCCTTAAGAATGCAGTATTTGATTAGAAGGTAAGTGCGTCACATGCTCTCGCGGTGACTGGGTTTTCACTGAGGAGCCGTTTTATCGCCGTAAAGTTTCTCCCATAAACCCCGATCCGCAGATTTATGTTTCGCGGTGCCCACAAAATCTAAACTGATGCCAGAAGCCAATAATATAAAAACCATATATCCTACTCCAAAATTGACTGGACGGTTGGCTTGTTTGAATGATCTCAACAGCGCATCGAAACGCAAGATGTGCAAATCACCTGAAAGAATTGTAATTGGACTACTTGCTTTGCGAACCGAATGTTTGGATACCTTCAGCGCTGTTTCATAAATTTTGCGATGTAAAACCCGAATCATTCTCGTTTGCGCTTCAACCACTATTGTGCAATATGATAGTGCACCTGCACCAGTTCTTTAGGGAGACCACACAAGTACCCGGGTATCAGCGAATTCTGTATTTATTAAACATCCCAGCATATTGGCTAACTAAACAGCATTACTTTTAAGATCCCGATAATACGTAACGTTCCGGAGACACCTCTGGAATGCTATTCTGCCAGGGATTGGTGGTTTACATCTTCTATGCCAAAAAGTCAAACCTGCTGTACGAAAATGCGCGCAATCTGCTCTGCATGCAACAACAATTTAGTGCTTGTCCACTTTGAGCAACTCGAAACACACTGAAAAATTAGGAGGTAAATTTTGAGCTATGGCTACACACCTTCCTTTGGCTATATTGGACCACTTTCGTTCGTTATAAAAAAAGGGATGAAACTCTGATTCGACTGTTTAATTTTCTACACGTTTTGACTAAGGCAAACTTTGTTTTCTTTCTTTTGTAAAACCATTCTGAACTAAGTAAAATCTCTCTATTATCTGTAAAGTAACTTTATGTGAATAGGTCAAAACCGTTAAAAAGGGCTCGCTCCAAAATGGCATTCTTCCTGGACGGAAAAACATTAAAGCTCAATTGCACCTCTGAAAGAAAAGCTAAGGTGTTAATTAAGTCAGCCTACCCCGTGCATGTTTGGCTGTGTAAACATAAACATAAACACATAAACTATCGTGTGAAAAGTTCTCACTAGCTTTCGACGACCGCCATCAAAATCAAGTAGACTTTTATGAGAAGCGTCAATCCGAAATTTTCCCGTTTGCGCCATGAGGCTTTAAAACGATGAAACCACGTCGCAACCAATGCAAAAACAGTAGTGCAAGTCTTTAGTGAAAATTTATTGGAGAAAACTGAAAAGATCACACGGCTTGCGATCAATTAATCATGTAACATCATTCGCCTCCAGGTTCATCTAACCCGGGTAAACAAGGGGTGGTAGTTCACCGTTTCCACCGTAGCCTGAGAAAAAAAATAAAGACAAGGAAAATTAGTCAGTTATCCGGCTGCACTAAAAAAAGAACAAACATACTTCTATGTGACCTACACATATTTTGGTGCTATTGACGTACAAATTCTACGGGGTAAATGGCTTCGTTTGATAGATACTTGAAATCAATTTTTAAATTGGCCTTTCTTGAGCAGTAATCTCCAAAACGGCAATGAACTTATGGAACTATAGAGGAAAATGTCGGTAGCGTAGATGGTCGTTGGTTTGTTCGCCGATTGCAAACTTTTCATCACCAGTCAAGGTGACATCATCAATGCGTTACTGAGGAGCTTAGTGGTGCGTAGTGGTGGGTTAGTGGTTGTGGTTAGTGGCACAACCACTTTTTGATTATCGCTGAATCATTTTGATCTCTATTCTCGCTGTTGACCATAAAACATCCGTGTCTGGAACTCCTAGTCCTGAAGCGTGGGTTCACTTTTCTTTTCCCCTCCCATCTCACCATCAATATAAACACGAAGCATCCATTTCTACACAGCTCCAACTCGAAGTACAACAATAAAGGCTGTGCTTCAGCCTACCTCCTAGACGAGAGCTAAAAAAACGTAGTGAGGACAAACCGATCCTTGTAACCATCACGCATCTACAAGAGTCCTA